CCCCCGCCAGCTCTGCCTCCCGCCCCCCCCCCCGCCGGACAAGCGTGTCCGGTTTTTTAGCGGGGTCTACCTGGCTTAGGCCCCGCGTTCTGAAAATGTCGGCCTAAGCCAGGAGTGGAGTCCTGCACTGTTAGATAGTTTCTGGAGACCTGAACCTGCCCCCTCATTCGCGGGCGGTGGGGGGGGTCCCTTCAAACCAGTTGTGTCCCTAGAACCTTCTATATGACTCTGAATCCAATCCACACCCCCAGGGACCCTGCCTCAGGGCTTCCATTACCCCTCACCCAAGCTCTGAGCTACTTCCCGCTCCCCCGGGGTCCAGCGGTGAGGCACCATCACACAGCAGGCCTGTCCATCGCCTGCCTGCCCGTCTCCAAGCATTCACGCTTGGGGGGTCTCTGACTTTCCACTCCCCTGGGCTCCAGCCTCTAGCACAGAAAAACACCCCTGCTCTCACCGCTTTTGGGGCTCCCCTCCCTGACTGTGCCCCTCCATCGACATGGGCCCCACGGCTGTGGGCTGCCGGCTTTCATGTAGTCCCCCTCTGGAGGCCCCTGTCTCTGCTCCGGCCCATTCGGATCCCCCACAGATGCCCATGTCTGCTTCCAAACCTCACGCATGCCCAGTCCCCTCAGCCTCGCTGCAGGTACCTCCTTGGTGATGTAGCCGTCCTTGTTAATATCATAGAGGTTAAAAGCCCAGTTTAACTTTTCGTGCACGGTCCCACGCAGCAAGACAGAGAGGCCGACGACGAAATCCTGGAATAGAGAAGGAAGCAGAGACTCAGCAGGACAGGTAAACAACCCAGCTGATGGGCAACTGCTAGCAAGCAGCAGGCAGACCCCAACGCCTCCTTCCACACACGCCCCGGGGAAAAGAACCACCCTGCAGCAGGGCCTGGGAATTGCTTTTCTAAAGGGGGAGCTTTTGACCCTTCAGAGGGTGAAACAGAAACGTTATCCACCATGAAACGCTGGTCGCCTGTCTATCGATCCTGTTTCTCTTCTCTGCCGGGTCTATTTTTAGTTGACTCGCTGCCCACCTAAGCCCCAGTGCCCCTTGCTGACAATAACCATACAAAAAACCCTCTCTAGTTCTCTGCTGCTCACCGCGCCTGGCACTGAGCGCAAAAAAGCAAACGGAAATCATTAACTGCCCCTTCCCAGTGCAGAAATGAAATCACAGGCATTTTGGTGGCTGGCTGAGCGAGGTGTGTTACATCCAGTTACTAAACAGAAGAATGATTTTATACGCACGCACCCTCGTAGGAGAGGGAGCTTGCATTATAGACAGCGTCTTTATTTAAAAACAATCCCATAGCTCCTTGCAAGTTTTACTAACTGGACCATATATACACGTTGACCCTCTCCAGTCCGGAGCCGCAGCGCGAGGTTCCTAAGCCCCTTGGGGGGACCTGGCTCTTTGAAAGCGAGAGCTGGGCCGTTACCTCGAAGGAGATGGCTCCGTTCCGGTCCACATCGAAGGCGTTGAACAAGAAGTGGGCGTACATGCTGGCGTCTGGGGGAGGAGAAACGAGAGGCCCAGTGAACGCGCTGGCACTTTTCTCCCCTCCCCCACCAGGCCTGACCCTACTAATCCGAGCCCCTCGCGCTCCAGAAACACATCGGCCCTCACCCCGCGAGGCTGGGCCGGCCTGGTCGCCCCAAGGCCCTGAGTCTGAGGCAGAGCAGGGACTCAAAGCCAGGTCACCCCATGCCTGGGCTAGGGCCCTAACCATTGTACCCTCCTGCCGCTTTGCTGCTGCGGGGAGCCCCCGGGGGAGAAGGAGTCTCACAGCACCGGGAGGGGGCCCGAGGTGCTTGCGTCCCCCCATCCCAGCGCGGGCTGAGGCAGGTTACTAGGATTCCACTGACAAAGCCAGCGTTGGGAAACCGCTTGTCAAGCTACAGCCTCTCCCGGCATCCTCCAGAGGAACCGCACCTGGCCCAACGGGCCCGCCGGGGGCTTCCAGCCGCTGTAAACACCCGGGCGTTTCCCCACCGGGCTGCCTGGTCCCCTGCTCAGCCAGGCCAGGGGCCTGCTCGTGCGGCGGATATTGCCCGGCACAGGGGCCTGGCCTCAGCTGAGGAACTAGGGGATCGTCGCAGCAGAGTCTCCTCAGTCAGGGAGTCAGCAGCCTGGGATCAAGGCTCTGGGCGGGGAGAGTCTCTCTGCCTCGCTGGATCATTTAGCCCTTCCCGGCACTGGGTAGGGCTCGGGGCGGGGAGCCAAACTCACCTCCCTGAGGGAAGAACTGAGCATAGATCAGCTTGAAGGTGTCCTCGTCCACCAGGCCGCTGGGGCATTCCTATGGAGGGAAGTCATGGCCAGGAGGTGAGCCCCCAGCTGTTCTGAGTGCCAGCCTCCCCACAGAGCAGATGATGCTCCTGGTGGGCCCTGTCCCTTGGCTCTGCCTTGCAATACATCCCGGACAACCTGTGGGACTCCTTGCCAGAGGATGTAACCTGTGGGACTCCTTGCCAGAGGATGTAACCTGTGGGACTCCTTGCCAGAGGATGTAACCTGTGGGACTCCTTGCCAGAGGATGTAACCTGTGGGACTCCTTGCCAGAGGATGTAACCTGTGGGACTCCTTGCCAGAGGATGTAACCTGTGGGACTCCTTGCCAGAGGATGTAACCTGTGGGACTCCTTGCCAGAGGATGTAACCTGTGGGACTCCTTGCCAGAGGATGTAACCTGTGGGACTCCTTGCCAGAGGATGTAACCTGTGGGACTCCTTGCCAGAGGATGTAACCTGTGGGACTCCTTGCCAGAGGATGTAACCTGTGGGACTCCTTGCCAGAGGATGTAACCTGTGGGACTCCTTGCCAGAGGATGTAACCTGTGGGACTCCTTGCCAGTTGCCAGAGGATTCTGTAATCTATGGGACTCCTTGCCAGAGGATGTTGTAACCTGTGGGACTCCTTGCCAGAGGATGTTGTGAAGACTTTAACAGGGTTCAAAAAAGAGCGAGATACATTCATAGAGGACAAGTCCATCAATGGGTTTTAGCCAGGCTGGGCAGGGAGGGTGTCCCTGGCCTCTGTTTGCTGGAAACTGGGAATAGGCGACGGGGGAGAGATCCCTGGATGATTCCCTGTTCTGTTCGCTCCCTCTGGGGCCCCTGGCATTGGCCGCTGTCGGCAGACAGGACAACGGGCTGGATGGGCCTTTGGGCTGACCCACTATGGCCGTTCCTATGTTCTTCCCAAGGTCCGTCCTCTTAGAGCATCTCTCACAGCCTGGCCTCTGCTCTTACGCTCCCTCCTCGAACCCGGACCCCGGTACACCTTGGAGTTCATGGCCCCCTCTCTCCCCACTGCGACGCCTCTCCCTGCGGTACGCCCGCTGGCCCCATGGGGACAGGCGGCTCAGTGCGTTGCTTCGCGCACGGCTGGAAGGCGCTCGGGAACGACCGTGCTGAGGAGAAACCGAATCCCCAGCTGAGCGCACGCACGCGCTGTGGCTCGGGTCTGTAATACGCTTCCCCCCCATCCATTCTGCCCCCACCTGCATCCCCAGGGTGTCTCCACCACAGGCAGGTGTAAAGAGCAGACGGCCCCACCCTAGCGTCCATCCAGCAGACGGAGCCAGCAGAGGCCACGAGGCCCAGCTCCCGGGGAGCGTTCCTCTGGGGGCAGGCCTCCCTAGACACTCACGTTCTTGAAGCCCCGGTACAGCGACTGCAGCTCCTTCTTGGTGAACTTGGTCAGTGCTTGCAGCTGGTCCAGCCCTTCCGGCTGGTGCCGGACGGATGAAAGTTCAAGGTCGCTGTCGCTGCTGTCTGGAATGACACAGGACAAACCCGGTGAGCGAGCAGCAATTCCCAGTGCCTGACCCCTACACAGAGCGGAAGGTGCACGCTATCTGCCCTTCATTCCGCCTAACTGAGGGAGCAATTCAATACCCATTTGTTTGGTGATAGCTGAAGCTATGGGAGCCACTGCCCAAGGCACTGCACTGAAAGGCTTGAGCAAGAACTAATTTGGAGAGAATAAAAGGGGTATCCCCGGGGACTCATTGCAAACCGGCAGCTGGGGCATTGGTTTGGTTGCAGCTCTGTGTGCTTACGCCTGGAAGGACCCACACAGCAGGGAGAAAGCCAGCAAGAAAGGCGCTGGCCCCGTAGAAAATGGAGAGCGAGTTTCTTCTGGGCAGGGTGCTGGCTGGTAAGGCAGGCTTGGAAACCAGGAGCAAGCAAACTGCCGGCTGCTACTTGCAGCTACTGCGCTCAGGGATACAGGACTTCACGTTCACGGCTTGTAAATAAAAAAGTCTGCACCAAAGAAATTCCTGACTCCACCACCCATTTCTCTTCCTAATGGGAACAGCCCACTGAGGCTGCAAATACCAACTCGGGGCCACGTTACAAGTGATTTCAGGCCAAAGGACACCACCCCACAGACCCGCTGTGCGCAGGAGTTGTAGACCCGCCCATCCGGAAAAGCACCCCAAAGAAAAGCACCCAGGCCAGAAAGGATTCAACACCCCGACAAGTCTTCCTGCAGGCTCTTCCTTCAGGGCACCGTTATGAATTCAAACAGAATCACTGCAGATGCAGCTTGGTCCAAACCCCATAAGCCCGGCTCCCCAGCCTTCTGAGGTGATGGAGAAACCCCTCCTTTAGCCACAGGCTGCGTCTACGCTGGGGGTGATGCCGGCCCAGTTCCGGCACCGTAGTGTGGAGCCTGGAGAGAGAGCGGGCAGCAGCCCCAACCCAAGAGTGCTCGCAATGTGGCCCTGAGAACAATCCCAGAGGAAGAGCTTTTGGGGCACAGTGTTGGCTGGAAAGGCAGGCTGGGGACTGCACCCTCAGAGCTGCCTGCTGTGATGTGACTGGTGCCGCGTTCGGAGACGCAGGCGTGAGCCCGTTGCTTGTAAATCAGCGAGACCTCGTCCCAGAAGGTATCAGACTTCGTCAGTTTCCCTGGAGCACCCTGCAGGGCCCTGAGATCGGACAAGGCGCTTGGGTGCCACGGGGATCAAGCCACAGCTGCGACGTGATCCCCTGCAGCAAATCCCCCTAAAGGCTCTGCAGGACTCGCACGCCCCAGTGCCCAGCACAACCATTAGTTCAGTCCTTCCCACGCAACTTGCCCCAGCTCTGTGTCCCAGGGAGAACCATGAGACTTCTAGCCAGGATGGATCAGAACCCAGGATCCAGCCCCATCGGGCTGCGGCCTCTCTTCTACTGGCTGGCGGAGTCTGTTCTTGCTGCTGCGGGGGTGCAGTGTTGGGGGAACTCCGACACGTCGTCACACGTTCAAGGATCTGGGACGGAGCTCCTTTATGGAACCAGGGGGCTGAAAGCAGCAGCCTCCCCCCAAAACCCACGCACATGGGAGGCTGCTCAAGAACTTGGGAGAGATTGGCGAAGGAGCCTGGATCGGATTGTTGTGAGCAGAGGGGTGTGCAGGCGAGAGAGGGAAGGAGAAAAAGACTCCAGAGGGATACAGAGAACCGAGGGCACAGCCTGGAGAATGCTGTTCTAAAACGGGAGCATTTGGGCAGAGGGCTGGCTGGAAGAGGCTTGGAAC